GATGCAGATGCTGCTGGTCCCAGGACCACACTTTGAGAACAAGGTATCCATTCACCATGCAGTTAGCCTACTCATATATATATTTTAGATTTTATTTATTTGAGAGAGAGAGAGAAAATGAGCAGGGAGGAGGGGCAAAGGGAGAGGAAGCAGACACCCTGCTGAGTGCAGAGCCCTAAGTGGGGTTTGATCCTAGGACCATGAGATAATGAACTGAGCCGAAGACGCTTAACCGACTGAGCCACCCAGGTGCCCCCTTTTTTAAATTAAGTAAACGCTGTGTCCAATGTGAGGCTTGAATTCACGACCTCAGTATCAAGAGTCACATGCTCTACCGACTGACTCAGCCAGGTTAGCCTACTAACTTTTAATAAGTACCACATTTTGGGACGCCTGGGTGGCTCAGTTGGTTAAGCGACTGCCTTTGGCTCAGGTCATGATCCTGGAGTCCTGGGATCAAGTCCCGCATCGGGCTCCCTGCTCAGCGGGGAGTCTGCTTCTCCCTCTGACCCTCTTCCCTCTCGTGCTATCTCTCATTCTCTCTCTCTCAAATAAATAAAAAAATCTTTAAAAAAATACTTAAAAAAAAATAAGTACCACATTTGTTCTATAATCTATAAACAAACTACAAATGACATAGGGAATACATAAGTTTTTTCATTTTTTGGCTTTTTTTTTTAAGATTTTAAGTAATCTCTACACCCAACATGGGGCTCGAACTCACAACTCTGAGATCAAGAGTCGCATGCTGTACTGACTGAGCCAGCCAGAACACCCCAAGAACATAGTTTCAAAGTATTTTTAAATACCAGTTCTGAGGTTTATTTACCCTGATCTTCAAATAGTTGACTTTAATTCTTATTCAGATGTCCATTAAAATTCAGCAACAGAAGCGAGTTAAAAATTCAATTTTTGTAAAAAAAAATGTTCTAATCTGGTATAGGTACATAACAGGGTAATTACAGAAGAAATGACACAATGCCTAGGATTTGTTCTAGAATATGCAAACAAAAAAGGGGAGGGAAGGGGGAAACCCCAGATGAAACAAGATGGGCAAAATGTTATTTATTGAAGCTGAATGAGGAATATCATGGGGTTAGCTCTACTTTCCTTTCTACTTTTGTGTAAGTTTGAAAACTTCCATAAGAGAAAGCTTTTAAAAAAAATTTTTTTGGTGCCCTCTCTGGGGCTTGAACTTTAAGAAAAAGCTTTGAAAATTCACATCTTTCTCAATATTCACTGAAAGTGTAGTTGACATGTAAGAAGAAAGTAGACTGCATTTAAATTGCTTGCTCAAGATTTGTTACAGTGACCATATTATCTCTTGGGAGAAACGGGCCAATCTTTGTGGGGAGAAGGTGTTATTATAGTTCATATTTTTATACATTTAAAAACAGGCTTTTCATGCACTTACAGAATTCTACAAATTAATATGAAAACAGGGCGCCTGGGTGGCACAGTTGGTTGGGCGACTGCCTTCGGCTCAGGTCATGATCCTGGAGTCCTGGGATCGAGTCCCGCATCGGGCTCCCTGCTCGGCGGGGAGTCTGCTTCTCCCTCTGACCCTCCCCCTTGTCATGCTCTATCTCATTCTCTCAAATAAATAAATAAAATCTTTAAAAAAAAATGAAAACAGATGTCTTTTTTCTTTTAACAGGACATGACTTGATGTGTACCTTAATGCCTGGCCCAATGGCAGAAAATATATTTAGGTTTCATTTTAGTATTTTTACGAGGGCTATTTTATTTTTTCTGAGAAAGTAAAATAAATACAAAGTAGTAAGATATCATTTTAAAGAATAGTACTTTATTGAATAAGTTTTATTCACAGAAAAATAAGCTTTAATCTATGATGACTGCCAGATTATACAGTGGAAAGCAATTTTCTTTGTTTTCCATAGTGATGGAAAGGTTTCTACTAAATGAAAAAAGTCATAAAATTATATTCACAAATATAGCACTCTATCTGAAAACATTTCACGATTATTCACAACACTAATACAATGACATAAGAATCCGTCATTCTGTCAGATTAAATATAACAGTAATGAAAAAATGCAAAATCTTTTAACAAAAATTACATTAAAGCCTTTAGTACATCAAATCAAAAATGCAAATTTGTTACTAAGTATAGAGAAAATGACAAAATATACTTATATAGTAATTTTAAATGTTGTATTAATGATACACAATAAGAATGTAGGAAATGCCAAAAAAACCTCTGCATATTTGCAAACTTTAGTCTTCAAAATACAATCTTACCACCCAAAATATTAATGTAGTATTGTACAATTTGAAGATATATGTATTTAAGATTGTCCTATTGTATTAGTCATAAAGTGTCATTTAATATGTAGTGAAAGTTATGGTAAAAAAGAAAGAATAGTTGAAAAAATAAACATTTGAGACCTCCCAGGAGAGGTAACTTGAAGTTTTTCACCTTCAAACTATGTCCCAGTCTGGGCTGCCACTAATTAGCTAGATAGCTTTGAATAAATCACTTCACCTTTGAGCCTCAGTTGTCTCACCTGTAAAATGAGGGGGAAGAATCAGATACTCTCTAAGGTCACTTCTAGCTCCGACACTCTAGGATTCTAGTATGCCGCTAGTGAAATTCACACTGTGCTAAGTGATTAAGAGTCAAATTGACACTGATAATGAAAGTGGGAATAAGCCAACTGTTCCTATTAGGAAAGCTCACCCGAATTCGATAAGAAAAGTTTTTTTTCCCAGATTTTTTAAAACGGAACTTAAATATTTTTAAGGACCTGACCTATTTATTATAATTTACATCTTAACTATGAGAAACTCCAAAAAAGATGAGTAAGAGTCACTGAAAGAGTTATCATCTAAGTTTTAGCCCAAATTTCCAGAGTCAAGGCAAACCCCTGGAGGGTGAGAGAGTGTGCTGGGAAGGGAATGAACATCTGTAGCAAGTATCTGACATCCAGGGTCTCCCTGAACTCTCCTAATGTTGTAAGATAGGTATTACTCTTATGTCAGAGATGAAGAAACAGCTCTTTTTTAAAGCAGACTTGGCTAAAAATAACTACATCTGTCAACTATCCCCTCCTGTTTTCTTATTTCTCTAATGGAAATGAAAAACCTACCCCATTTCTCCCACTCCCCCACCCTTTCCCCTCATATTCACCCCCTGGGGAATCAGGAAATAAAACAATGATTTGGGCTTAAAGAGCACAATACACGCCCCTAATGCTGTGGTGGTCGTCTCCATTCAGAGTTCAAAATACCAGTTTTATCCACTCAAAACAGGAAAAAAAAAACCTACCAAAATTTAAATAATATAACCACAAAAACAAAAGATCATAGTTACGCAGGGCCAAATCACATTATATACACCCATCACACCCACCCTACCCCATCTTAGCCCTTAACCAAAGGGAAAAAAAAACAACTAAGAACGAACCTAGCAGGAAAGGCAATACAAAGCCGTTAATTAATATACTGGAGTTTACTTTATAAACATGAAACCCATTTTTCAAAAATTAAAACAAGGCTTTTGATCAGCACACCAAATTATTATGAATAAAGAGAACTACTTAATACCAAAGAACCTGACTCTTCGCATGAACTAAAATGTAGTAAAATAGGTGGTGACTTCAAAATCTTTAGAGTGAACTTTCTAACAGAAAAGGAATGTCTACATGTAGATACGGAGAACTATTTTGGGAAAGGGGGAGGCGCAGATTTGGATCTGGTTATATTTTTGACCTTGCAAGTAATCATTTTTTGCACAACTAGATGGAAGGGATCCAGTGCTTTTTATAGTGAGAACACAGACAAACATTGGTAAGTCTTAAAAAAAAATGTGATTAGAAGTTGGAGTGCTGAGTGATTTCAGAACCTGAAGCAACAGCATTTCTAAACAATTCTTAAAATAAACTTGTTAGCCACATCAGCTTCATGCATTACATTTCACAACTCATGGGGAGAGAAAAGGTCTTTCTTAACTCTAAACACACAAGTTTTAAAAGAAGAGTTTTAATGAACTGAGGCTCCCAGAACAGGAAAAGCCTTATGTTAAAACAATTCAGTCCTTGGCCAACAACTAGATTGAACTAACTACCTGACTTGGAGCTGATGTGTTCTGGAAAACACATTTAAGAATCTTTAACACTTTTCTCCCCTTTAAATTCAAAGCTTAGACTATATATGTAAAATTTAACTTAATGAACATTTAACTAAACCTAAGTGGAAGTGCAAAGGTAAAGAGCTGCGAGTTTACACGATAAAACAAAGACTCCTGGGCTGTCATTATTTAATTTAAAAAAGTTCTCATTTAAATTTGCAATGCTTTAAATGACTGTCACTTAAAATAGTCATCCACAGAGGTGACGAGAACTTGACAATACTTTCTCTTAGAAAATACGATGAAAATAGAATTTTTAAGTTTCACTCTCAAACGTTTTTCCGCAGTAAAATGCCCCATTCACCTCTACGACAGGTCGGTTTAAGAATCTTGTAAGCAAACCCTGGGTGTTGTATGAAGCACTTCTAAACTTCTTATTTTTTATCTCTATTGACTTTTATTCAAGTTTTATTTTCTTTTTAATATTTAAACAAGTATTCTCGTTTTCTTGTCAATATTTTGTAATTTCCAAGAGATTTTAAGGATCTTGAGAGAATATTTATTTCAGAAGCATCTACTACTATTACTAGTCAAGGAAACAAAACAATTTAGGTAAAGACTTGACATTTTGTCCTATATACATCTTAATTATCCTAACAGTAAAAACGCACATGAAACTTTAAAATACGAGATGATATGAGAAGCTCACATGGAAAAGCTGTCCCTAAAACTACGAGCAGTGTACAAACATGCTTCTACTTTTTCCTACATAAGCTGACAGATGGTTAAAATACTGGGTTAACAAAGATCTTTTAGTAAAGTGACTTAGGCAGGCTTAAACTAGCAAGGATTAAAGATGAATCCTTACTAATTAATTGGAAGATCTGAGACATATTTTATATTTCATTTTACAAAATCAGGAATATTTATTTTGAAACAAGAGAAGACATGGTCTACCTGTCAGAAAACTACCACTCAGAAATATTTTTCATCCACAAAGCAGGAAAAACATAAAAACATTTAAATTTCACATTGGCACCAAAAAGGTTAACTGCTCTGCCTTCTTGGATTAGAAAAACTAAAGCTGAGCAATAAGTAGTTTTGCAGGCGTTTGAACATGCCTAAGCCTTTAAATCAGTAAAATACTTTCTAAAAATTCTGATTACAAAAGTAATACATACTTATAAAAAATCCAAACAGAACAAAATGAAAAAGTAGAAAGTGAAAGGCCCCTGCAACCCCCCTCTGGGCCCTACCGCCCCCACCCAAGAGAAACCACATTTAACAGTTTGGTGCTTTATCCGTCCAAATCTTTTGTTCTATACATATACAAAACACACACACCTTCATCTGACTCATTCTATACACAGTGTTTTGCCACTTCAGTTTACACTTAATATATCTTTGACATCTTTCCATGTCAGTACATGTTGGCTAGATGGTATTCTATCCTTAAATACCCTTTTAACAATGGCAAAATCATTTTTTACAATCACCCACCCAAGCACGTGTGTATAATTTTAAAAGAGAATGGACAAAATCCTAAAACACAAAGACAAACATCTAAAAATAATCTGTATCTTTCCACCAGTGTGGAACAGTTCATTCCTTTTCACACAAAACAAATTATGTGATTGGGGAGATTAATCTCCACGTTTACACAGAATGCTCCATTTGTTAAGCCTATATGAAAAGAATGAAAAATTCAGTTGATTAATTCACTTACACTTAGAAACTAAGTTAGTGTACTACAAATACACATTGTGATCAGTTACAATATGCTTCTTAGTCTAGATTTCAATTAAATAACAGTAAAAAAAAAAAGATATACAACATAGCTAATATCCCCCAAAATCCTGAAATTCAAATTTTAGATTACGAACTAGAACACTGTAGTTTACATTTTGTCTACTTGGTAGCAAATGCTAATGGCATTCAGTGCTGATTACTTAAAGTCAGTTCACATCACACACTCAATCAGGGTAATGAGAAGAACATAATGCGCCTAACTGTAGAGTTAGATTAAGACATAAAAATTTTTTGCTTGAAAGTAATGACTGTGTAGCACATGGGACATTTGTCAACTGCTTCAGCACATTGTTTACAAGTGACCAGATGTCCACAAGGAATGAAAACCACAGCAATATTTCTATCCATACAGATTTTGCAAAGCTTCTCCTCTTGCAGGAGCCTTAGCTGCTCTTCAGCACTAATCTCTGCACAAAGAGAAAAGAAATGTGTTAATTTTTGACTTTCTTAGTTGTTGAAATGTATTGAAACAACACGAACCCCTACTATGTGCCAGGCGCTAATCAAGGGCGGGGAGACAGGATGACTCACACATGACACCTGCTCTTAAGCAGCTCGCAGGCTAGAGGAGAGAAGGACATGAGCTGAGGCTATGGAGGGAAGCACAAAGTACAAAGTGATAAGTGCTATAATAAAAGTTATGTACAAAGTGCTCGGGGACGAGATGAGAGAACAAGTTCTTCTGCTCAGATGAGCTGGGAAAAGCTCAGGTTGGCAGCTGCAGGGTGGGGGGATGGGGAAATGGAGGAGTGACATTTAAACATGGCCGGCAACTTGCCAGGCACAGAAGCCAGGGTTAGGTAAAAAGAAGTGACACATGGAAAGGGCATGACTTACTCCAGAAATGGAGGGATGGATCTGAGGGACACTTCTGAAGTGGGACTACTAGGATTTGGTGACTGACTAGATGTGAGGGGTAAGGGAAAAAAGAGGAAGAAACAGAGTTGATTTTAAGATTTCTAGTGTGGCTGACAAGGGGATGGTGATGCCAAAAGGAAATATAGAAAGAGGTACTGGTTTGGCATTTTTCAAGTTGTTTTTGAGGTGTTTGCAGGGCATCCGTATATAAATGTCATTGGATAGTCACGTCTTGAGGTCAGGAGAAGTTAGGGCTAGAAACAGAGATTTGGGTGACGTCAGCATATAGGGAGCACTAAAGTGCTTGCTAAATTCAGCCTTTCCCAAACTAGGTTTTGTGAAGTGTTAACAAATATGTCACAAAAATGTGTTTCATGGTCAAACAGAACTATAATGACAGAGGTGCCTGGGTGGCTCAGTCGGTTAAGTGTCTGACTCTTGATCTCAGCTCAGGTCTCCAGCTCACGGTTGTGAGTTTAAGCCCTGCGTTGGGCTCCACAAAAAAAGAACTATAATAACAACATCAACAATGGCAGCAGTTAACAGTAACACAGCACTTATTACTACGTGCCAGGCATTATTCTAAAGGCATTACATATCTATAATCTTTGTAGACCAGTGGTTTACGAATGTGGCCTCACATGGGAATCACTTGGGGCATTTTTTTTAAAAAGATTTATCTATCTTTTTCCGAGATGGGAGAGGCAGCAGGAGAGAATCTTCAAACAGACTCCCCACTGAGTGGGGAGCCCCCCCCCTGGGGGGGGCTTCATCACAGGACCCATGAGATCATGACCTGAGTCAAAACTAAGAGTTGGACGCTTAACTGAGCAACTCAGGTGCACTTGGGGCATTTTTTTAACGATAGATTGCTAGGCCCCATTAACTAAATCTAAAATTTCTGGGGTTGTTTTTTTTTATTTTGTTCTGAAATTAAAGTATGCAAAATAAAGAAGATACGGTTTTACACAACGACAACAATTTTTGGGATTGCACACACAGGCTCGGAAACCACTGCTATGAAGTACAGGTCAGTACAGTACAGTCTATGTCCCCTCTTAGAAAGTCACAATGCATGGCCCTATTTAACTACAGAGCTCCTTCCCCCCCCCCTTTTTTTCGTTCCCTCTTCATGGCATCTCTTTTAACATCTTGGGGAACACTGTTTTTTGTTGTTGTTGTTTTTTTAAAGGTTTTATTTATTTATTTGACAGAGAGAGGCACAGCGAGAGAGGGAACACAGGCAGGGGGAGTGGGAGAGGGAGAACAGGCTTCCTGCGGAGCAGGGAGCCCGATGTGGGGTTCGATCCCATCATGACCTGAGCCGAAGGCAGACGCTTAATGACTGAGCCATGCAGGCGCCACCTTTTTTTTTTTTTTTAAAGATTTTATTTATTCATTTGAGACAGAGCACAAGCAGGGGGAGAGGCAGAGGCAGAGGGAGAGGGAGAAGCAGGCTCCCAGCCGAGCAGGGAGCCCGATGCGGGGCTGGATCCCAGGATCCCAGGTTCATGACCTGAGCCAAAGGCAGACGCTTAACCATCTGAGCCACCCAGACGTCCCCTTGGGAACACTGTTTTGAAAACAAGTTTGGGAAACAGTGGTTGAGTTTTGTTCAACAAATATTTACTGAACACTTAATTAGGTTCTAGGAACTAGAGATACAACAATTAACAAATACATAGGCCCCAGGCCCCTAATTGTTCATAAACAAGTAAGAAACACAAGTAGACAGGAAATTATAAGAGTGTAATGATAAAGATAATTACAATGTGTTATGAAGAACATAGGAAGCGTGTGAGTGTGCACACACACACAAACAGAAGGCCTCCTTAAGAAATTATACTTAAACTGGGTCCTAAAGGATGAGGAGGAGTTAACTAGGAAAGATGGAGAGGGGACCCTGAGGGAACAGAGGCAGTGGGAGAAGAATATTCCGGGCAGAGGAAATGGCATAGGCAGGCTCCAAGGGGAGAGACAGAACAAGGCCTGTAATTGCACGGGTAAGGCCTGGGGAGGGACACAGCACGACATGAGGGTACAGAAGGTTACAGGGGCCCAGTCATGAAAGATTTGGCAACCCACATAGAGGAGTTTGGACTTGATCCTGAGGGCCCTGGGGGCCAGTAAAGGGTATTAACCTGGAGAGAGAGAGAGAGAGAGAGAGAGAGAGAGAGAGAGAGAGATGTGTGCTTTGGAGAAGTATGCCTGACCAGGGGTGGAAAGTATTATTTAATCTCTTTCTTCTTAAAAAGCAACCTCATGGTTTAATAATCAAAACTATAAGCTCAAACATGGACTGAACCAGAGATAAGATAAAGCACCTGTCCTCAAGAAGCTTGGTCTGATGTGCAGGACAGAAAACCGTTCTAAAACAATGTTACAAATGCTCTCATAGCAGCGAGAAGAGGGAGCTCCGGACTCTGCTGTGGGTCCTGGGGAAAGCTTCAAAGAATGACCTCTAAGTGGAGCCTTGAAGGATGAGTTTACAAGATGGATTTAGGGGACTGGGGGTGGAGTGGGGAATGAGACTAGGTACACAGACAGGGAAAAGGTAGCTGGGGCAGAGGGAACAACGGAAGTAAAGGGTTGGCAACTCTACACTGATTTGTATTATATGAAAGCATTTAACCAAAAAAGTCAGAATCAAGTACATGCTCATGCCCCGCAAAAAGGAGAAAAACAAGAAATTCACACATGACTTTTGGATGTGATGCTCCAATGAGTAAAACAAACACTGGACCTAGAAGAGTCAAGTTTATAGAGACAGAAAGCAGAATGGTGATTGTCAGGGGCTGGGGGGAGGGGGAATGAGGAGGTGTTGTTTCATGGGGACAGAGTTTCAGTTCTGTAGATAAAAAGATTTGTGGAGACTGGTTGCACAACTGTGAATGTACTTACTACTGAACTGTACACTTAAAACATTTTTTTAAGAGGAACACTGGACCACATGTCAGGAAACCTGACTTTTATTCCCAACTAGCTGAGTGATCTTTGTCAACAGCACATCTATACTTCAGTTTTCTTACTGAAGTAATGTAAGTTATTATATGATCTTTCAGGTTCACTTTGGTTCTGATGCTCTGATTCCATTTCACAGACCACAGTGGAATGAAATGTCTGGCCTGCCAAACACTGTTATCAACTTTTTCTACCTTATTTCAGCCTTATGTACAGCCTGGGCACAGGTGAGGTGAGGCTCTGGGCACAGATTTTACCTCCTGAGACCAACAGTTTACCTCTGACAATTTTATTTCACTCAAGCCTTAGGGTAACTATTGGATTCTACGTCCTTTACTATGGCACCTTTCCCCTTCTAATTTCTTTTTTTAAATAATTAATTTATTTGAGAAAGAGAGAGGGAGAGTATATAAGCAGGTGGAGGAACAGAGGGAGAGGGACAAGCAGACTCCACGCTGAGCACAGAGCCTGACGCAGAGCTCAATCCCATGACCCTAAGATCATGACCTGAGCCGAAATCAAGAGTCCGACGCTTAACCACTGTGCCATCCAGGCGCCCCATCTTTTTTAAGATTTTATTTATTCATTTGAGAGAGAGCGAGAGCACGAGTCGAGCGGAGAGGCAGACTCCCCTGCTGAGCTAGGAGCCCAATGTGGAACTAGATCCCAGGACCCGGAGATCATTACCTGAGCTGAAGGCAGACGCTTAACCATCTGAGCCACCCAGGCACCCCCAACTTTTTTTTTTAATTACTTATTTGAGAGACAGAGAGTGTGTGAGCAGGGGGAGGGGCAGAGGGAGAGGGAGACAGAATCTCAAGCAGACTCCCCACTGAGCATAGAGACCGATGCAGGGCTTGATCCCACAACTCTGAGATCGACCCTGAGCTGAAATCAAGAGTTGGATGCTTAACTGACTGAGCCACCCAGGCGCCCCAGCACGCTATGTAATCTTTAAAAAGAAAGAAAGATACTATTTGGTACTATTTTTAGAAGACCATTTCCTGGGCTATTCTCTGTCACACAGCCATTGGGATAAAGCTAGTACTGAATCTAGGATTTCTCAGTAAGCAACAGTAACAGTGTAGTTTTTCTAAAAACTTCCACCTGCTTCATTCACCTCAGTTAGGCCCGCCTTCTATTTTGTATAGAATTAAAAGAGTCGTTGTGGGCGCCTGGGTGGCTCAATTGGTTAAGCAACTGCCTTCGGCTCAGGTCATGATCCTGGAGTCCTGGGATCGAGTCCCGCATCGGGCTCCCTGCTCAGCGGGGAGTTTGCTTCTCCCTCTGACCCTCCTCCCTCTCGTGCTCTCTATCTCTCATTCTCTCTCTCTCAAATAAATAAAATCTTTAAAAAAAAAAATAAAAGAGTCGTTGTGCCAGTCTTTAGTCATCAGCCCTGGGGAAGAAGAATAGGCAGCAGCCCTAGTGTGAGAAGATAGCCTGTATCAATCAACCTCCCTCTCAATTTAATGAGAACAAGGAGAGGTCAAGTGATGAATTCAAACTCCTGAGAGCTGCCCTTTGCTTAGGCCCTCCTTCCCACACCATCCTAGCTTGTAGTCTCTGTGATAAGAACCCCCATCGACTCCTGTTGGATAGAAAAGACACTCCCTAAAGCAGTCTGTTCTCTTCCTATTGCAACCCACTAAATCATCCCGTTGCTGACAAAACCTTCAGGTATAAAAACTAACACCTTATTGTCAAACTTGAGTTATGGTTAAGATGCAGGGAAAAATGATATGATCGCTTGTATTTCTATTACAGTAGAAAGATGACCAAGTCAGTGGTTCATTTTACCATTACCAGGACAAGTGAAGCTATAACAGGTTTTAAACAAATGTCTACTTAGGAAAAGGGTAGTAAGCTTTCTGCTGAATGTTTTACATCAACTGATGTAATTTAAAAAAAAAAATCACTGTTGGGCGCCTGGGTGGCTCAGTGGGTTGAGCGACTGCCTTCGGCTCAGGTTATGATCCTGGAGTCCCAGGATTGAGTCCCGCGTCCGGCTCCCTGCTCAGCAGGGAGTCTGCTTCTCCCTCTGACCCTCTTCCCTCTCGTGCTCTCTATCTCTCGTTCTCTCTCTAAGTAAATAAAATCTTTAAAAAAAAAATCACTGTTATACTGTTTTGTGACTGATGTAATTATCTGAATGTTTTAGAAGCATTTGAAATAACTTAAAGATCAAAAGGGTCTATTCATTTTTTAATTTTTTTTTAAGTAAGCTCTACATCAACGTTGAGCTTGAACTCAACCCCGAGATTAAGAGTCACATGCTCTTCTAACTGAGCCAGCCAGGTGCCCCAAAACGGTCTTTAATGTAAAAAAAAAAAAAAAAAAAAAAAAAAAAAGTACACTTTTAGATTTATTAGCACAGGGAGAATTTTCAAACTTTGGGAGAGGTGGTCAAGAGCTCAGAGAACAATGACTATAACAGTGTACCTCAGTACCCAAAATGTATTGTTTGAAATCTTTTTTTTTTTTTTAAAGATTTTATTTATTTGACAGAGAGAGACACAGTGAGAGAGGGAACACAAGCAGGGGGACTGGGAGAGGGAGAAGCAGGCTTCCCGCGGAGCAGGGAGCCTGATGTGGAGTTCGATCCCAGGACCCCGGGATCATGACCCGGGCCGAAGGCAGAAGCTTAACGACTGAGCCACCTAGGCACCCCTGAAACCTTTTCTTTAACCTTCGACGTTGCCATCAAACACTAGAGTTGCTTTCATTCTGAAAGAAGGAACTTATATTTTTTATCTTTTTTTCCTAAAAGGAGTTTATATGCTTCTCTTGCACATTATTTAATATACTTTTTAGGGGTGCCTGTCTGGCTCAGTCAATAGACCATGAGACTCTTGATCTCAGGGTTGTGAGTCCAAGCCTTGACTTGGGCGTGGAGCCTACTTAAAAAAAAAGTTTAATATTGGGCGCCTGGGTGGCTCAGTTGGTTAAGCGACTGCCTTCGGCTCAGGTCATGATCCTGGAGTCCCGGGATTGAGTCTCGTGCATCGGGCTCCCTGCTCGGCGGGGAGTCTGCTTCTCCCTCTGACCCTCCCCCTCTCATGCTCTCTATCTCATTCTCTCTCTCAAATAAATAAATAAAATCTTAAAAAAAAAGTTTAATACACTTTCTCGGTATGATTTACAGTACCAGGGGGCCACTCATTCAAGCTGTATTTAGTAATATGGTGCTTTTATAGGTTTATATCACATGAAAGGTTGCAGAACACTCTAAATCCATTTTAACTACAAAACTTACAGATTTCACACACAATCATAAAAGCTTTCATTGTTCTTTATCTAAACTAAAACACAAACCCACACTTAAAATAAATAAATCAGGGGTGCCTGGGTGGCTCAGTCAGTTAAGTGTCCGACTCTTTTTTTCCTTTTTTTTAAAAGACTTATTTGTTCTAGAGAAAGACAGAAGGTGGGGGGCAGAGGGAGAAAATCCTCAAGCAGACTCCCCAACCAAGTGCGGAGCCCGATCCCACAACCCATGAGATCATGACCTGAGCTGAAACCAAGAGTTGGATGCTTAACCAACTGAGCCACCAGGAACCCCAGCATCCGACCCCTGATTTCAGCTCGGGTCATGAGGATCAAGGGATTAAGCCCTGCAAAGGGCTTCACGCTCAGGGGGGAGTCTGCTTGAGATTCTCTCTTTCCCTCTCCCTCTGTCCCTTCCCCCCTGCACTCTCTCTAAAATAAATAAATCATTACAAAAATAAAATTAAATTACTAAATCAGTGGGTCTTACTTGAATACCAATTAGGACAAATCAACTGTTAAGAATGTTTTAAGACAATGGGGAAAATTAAAACCAACTGATTTTCAAATGATATTATGGAATTATTGGTAATTCTGTTAAGTGTGGTAACAGTATGTTATGGAATAAATGTATCCCCCCCCAAATTCTTATGTTGAAGCCCTAAACTCCCAATGTGATGGGACTCACAGATGGGCCCTTTGGGAGGTAATTAAATTTATATGAGGTCGTAAGGGTGGGATGTGCTCATTATGGAATCAGTATCTCTTTTATTTCTTTTTTCTTTCTCTTTATGTATGTATTTTTATTTTTATTTGTTTTAAAAATTTTATTTTTACATAATCTCTACGGGGCTCAAACTCACAACCCCAAGATCAAGAGTCGCATGCTCTACCGACTGAGCCAGGTGCCCCTGTATTTATTTTTAAAGTAAACTCTAGGGGCGCCTGGGTGGCTCAGTCACCGAGTGTCTGCCTTCGGCTCAGGTCATGGTCTCAGGGCCCTGGGATTGAGCCCCGCATCAGGCTCCCTGCTCAGCGGGAAGCCTGCTTCTCCCTCTCCCACTCCCTCTGCTTGTGTTCCCTCTTTCGCTCTGTCTCTCTCTGTCAAATAAATAAATAAAATCTTAAAAAAAAATAAACTCTATGCCCAATGTGAGGCTCGAACTCATGACCCCGAGATCAAGAGTCACATACTCTACTGACTGAGCCAGCCAGATGTCCCATGGAATCAGTGTATTTATACGAAGAGGAAAGGAGACCAGAGTGCTCTCTCTTGGCCACGTGAAGACACAGAGAGAAGGCAGCCATGTGCAAGCCTGGAAGAGAGTCCTCATCAGGAACCAAATCTGCCAGCACCTTGATCCTGGACTTCCCAGCCCCCAGAAATGTGAGAAATAAATGTCTGTTGTTTAAGTCTGTGGTATTCTGTTAGAGCAATCTGAGCACAGTTTAAGTTACTGCTTAACACAACAGTATTAAGATTATGTTAAAAAAAATCCTTATCTGTTAGGTATATTTAAAGTATTTATAGGTAGGGCGCCTGGGTGGCTCAGTTGGTTAAGCGACTGCCTTTGGCTCAGGTCATGATCCTGGAGTCCTGGGATCGAGTCCCACATCAGGCTCCCTGCTCAGCAGGGAGTCTGCTTCTCCCTCTGACCCTCTTCCCTCTCATGCTCTCTATCTCTCATTCTCTTTCTCTCAAATAAATAAAATCTTTAAAAAAAAATAAAGTATTTATAGGTAAATGATATATGGGATGCCTGGAATTTTCTTTGAAATACCATAGCAAAAAAAGTTGGGGGAAGAAATGAAACAAGACTGAAAAATTGTTGATAATTATTAAATCTGGTTTATGGGTACGTGAGGGTTCATTGTAGTGTTTTCTCCACTTTTGAGTATTTGTGAATTTTTTATTAACAGAAAGTTTAAAAAAAAAATGTTTATCCTAAGGGGGATATGAGAAGGAAAAAAATGAATGGGTCACAAAGTCATATAAGAAACTAACCATAATGAAGTACTGTTAGGTGTTTCTTGCTTTTTAAAAACAGCCATGCATACCTTTTTGCAATGAAGTCTGGCTTGATTCATCTTGTGTATTGTCTTTCTGAGCACTCACTAGATCTGAAACCAGAATCTCAAGTGATTTATAGTTGCTCCCAGATGTCTGAATTTTCTCCTCCATTATTTTCTTAATGTCCTTGAAACTAAATCCCATTCGTATAGCTTCTTGTAACATGGGATTTTGGAAGATGGCATCATCTGAAATAAAAATTGGTGAGGAAAAAGAACACAGAGTTTAAACAATTATTTTCACTAATACAACTCAACAGCAAAGTACAGTTAAAAAGAAAAAGGTAAGCAGCAAGAAAAAAAACAAAAAACAAACCAGCAATCAAAGCTACTTTGGGAAGAAGATTTTGAAATATTTATTGAAATATTTAAGCACTGAATAATCTTTCAGAATCTTATAATCATTGAAAATACAGTATTATTTTGTAGCACTATGAATTGAGATTAGGTGCTTTAAAGACCGAAGAAATAGTAAAAGACTAGGTAAAGAAATAGTAAAAAATTAGGTAAAGCCGATTCGAAGAAAAAGTTAAGTGCTTCAAAAATCAGACCTTTTTTCAAATCAGCTGTACTCATTAACAGCTAACCTAAGTACTTGAGTAGATATCTTTCCCAAGTCCCTAGCAATTATTTTGGAAAAATCATGGGAAATAGGAGGAATTCACAGTCTGTGACCTTGAATGTGTGAGTTTCCTATCTCTGAGACTGAGTTTCTGCAGCCGAGGGGGGTGAACCAGATAAGGCAACAAAATGAATAGAAATTCACTGTAATGTTACTCAAAGTAGAAATACAGGTTATGTAGGGAACTGCTAAAAGAGGAGACTTATTTACGACCTCTGATTCATCAATTCTACTCGAGTATTAAATATAAGTACAAAGGTCCACCAAAAAAAAAAAATCCACCAAAGACATGCACAAGAATATTCATAGCAGTGCCATTTGTAACAGCCTCAAACTGGAAACAACTCGAACATCTATCACCAGGTGAATGGATAAGTAAACTGTGGTATATTCAAACACTACACAGGAAGAAGAAAAATGAACTACTGCCACAGACAACATAACGAACCTCACAGACCTGATGAACAAAAAAGTCATCATAATGATGAGCCAGAGACAAAAGAATATACCATATGATTGCATTTATAAGATGTTCAAAACTAATCTATGGTAATAGAAGTCAGAACATAACTTAGGGTAGATGTTGATTGGGAAAGGGGCCAGAAGGAGTTTTTGGCATGGTGGAAATGTTCTATATCTTTTTTCTTAAAGATTTTATTTATTTGAGAGAGAGCACTAGCGGGAGGGGGATGGGCAGAGGGAGAGGGAGAAGCAGACTCCCCGCTGGGCAGGGAGCCCGATGTGGGACTCAATCCCAGGACCCCAAGATCATGACCTGAGCTGAAGGCAGATGCTTAACTGACTGAGCCACACAGTTGCCCCTGTTCTATATCTTGATTTGGCTGATGACTACACAGATAAATGCATGTTAAAATTCACTGAACTGAATACTTAAGATTAGTCTATTTTAAACATTTTATTGTATGTGTATTATATTTCAATAAATGTTTTTTGAAAAGAGCCGTTGGAAAGGGATTTGATTATAAGAAATATTACATGGTAAGTAACAAAAGAAGTAGGAAAGTAACTTAAGATTTCTGTTTGATAAAGAAAAATTCTGTTGGGAGGTTATAATGCACATAAAAGACCATTTATAAGACTACTAAAGCATCTGAATGAGAAATAAGGGCAGAAACTAGGGCAGAACCAGTGGATTTTAGACAATATTAAAAAGGTTGACTTCATCAGACCTGGTGGTTAATTAAATGTAGAGGGATTAAGGAAAGCAAAGAGCTTAAAATGATTCAAATTACTGGGTGACTTTGTGAACTATGGAGCTATTAACCAACTTGAGGGGGGAAGAACAGGACTGGATTCAGTCTAAGTGATTTTTTTTTAAAAGATTTTTATTTACTTATTTGACAGAGGGACACATAGCGAGAGAGGGACCACAAGCAGGGGAAGTAGGGGAGGAAGAAGTAGGCTTCCCACGGAGCAGGGAGCCTGATGTGGGGCTCGATCCCAGGACCCTGGGATCATGACCTGAGCCGAAGGCAGATGCTTAACGACTGAGCCACCCAGG